ACGTCTTGTCTGAGATTCTTCAGATTCCACTGTATTTGTTTACAGATGCAGCCTGATGTGGGTCGGTCACATGACTCAGAATTTGTTTACATTGAGTGCATGCCTGCATTTCAGCATAGAACTCTGTTTGAGTTATGTCAAATATCAGCACAGTTCATTTCTCTACACATAATGTGTGTAAATGTGTTGTTGTCAGTGTGAGTTTGTTTGGACACACTGTGTTTACACAAACTCATATTTGCTCACGTGCAGCACAAACAGCTCCTTTAACTGCAGGCTGCTCAGCAGGAGTCACGTGATCTGCTCGCAGCTCATCCCTCCCACCCTCCCAGCAGGCTGGCTGCTTCTCCCGGCTCACAGGACKGCTCGGCTCGGTTCGGCTCGCCTTCTCCTCCCGGGTTTGTCTCCGCAGCTGGCCTGCAGAGGTGAGCCGCAGGTAAGGTGCGTGTTTTCTGCCTCTGCGCGTGCAGAACACGGAGGGAGGGGGTCTGTCAGGGGGTCTGTCAGGGGGTCTGTCAGGTATCCTGCAGGCAGCGTGTTGGCGGCTCCGCCAGGTGAGCTGCGGGCTTTGTGCGTGAAGCTGCGGGGCTCAGGTTTATTCTGTAGTAAGGATGACTCAGCAGGCCCTCTGCTGGGAACCAGGACGACTGCTGGTTCTGAAACCATCAGAACCCCGAACCAGTGAGTCTGCAGGGTTTAGTCCTGAAGAATCAATCAATCAATCAATCAATCAATCAATCAATCAATCAATCAATCAATCAATCAATCAATCAATCAATCAATCAATCAATCAATCAATCCTTAACTTCCTGTTTCTATTTCTTCTATTTATGTTTCCACCTCCTGAAATATTAATCTGGGTTGAATTATGAAACTATAGTGAAGTGGATCAAATTATCTGGATTATTTTCAGACTAGAATTAAAGGGTTCAACTGGACTGGATTATTATTATTTTTATTTAAACCTGACTAGATTATAATGAACTGGAGCAAATTAAGATTACAACATAGTCTGACTGAAGTGTTTATATGTGTGTGTGTGTATATATATATAT